ATCCTCGAAACCCAACTTTTCTTCGTATAGGTTTAGATGAACATGTAGGAAACCGTGATATTAGAAGGATGCTACGAGGACATAGGATTGGTGAATAGCCCAGGATAAAATAGAGAGAGAGAGAAGGATACCACAATTGGTCAAAGGGTCGGCTTCATTTGTCTCCTTGACGAGTTGTCTTGTGGTGCTAAGAACGGCAAGGCTGACTGACGATAGCAGCGAAACATCTGGAAATGTACCAAGTCCACGGTGCGACTCTGCAAATTATCATGCTTACTATGACCTCTGGGCAAGGTGCCTTCCTCTAGGTCGTCCTGACAACACGACCAAGTTGCGAAAACAAAGTCAGTGAGTAGACTCAAAAACTGTCAGTGGATCTTGAAGTGTAAGTTGTCGCGAAAATCTTAAGAGGAACATCCGCTTCGTCTGAGAGGCAATGGCACCTGCGGCTGTATGATGGAGTGGTAGGGCTGGCGGTAATTGACGCCGACCATTTGGGTCGCTGATGCTCCCGGCTGTTCTACGTTGCGTGAGTGAAACAATACAATCGCGTCATGATGCGGAGGCAGCGAGCCCATCTCAGTTTTGTCGGTGTTCAAGCTCTGAATCTGCTCACCGTTGCAAACATGACGCCAATACGATCTGGTGGTCTTCAAGCCAATCGGTCAGTCGAGCCTGTCTGTGCGTAAAGCAAGACTCGGTACTTTTGCTGAAGTGACAAGAGCCCCCAAATCGGCTACACATCGGCCATATTGAAGCAGATACCGCTTCATGCACTTTCAGCGGCAAAGTGAACATACAGAAAACCTTACAATTTGGTAGTAGTCTCAGAGTAATCTCGAAAAAAGCATCTTTTCCAGCGTCTGTACGGGGACTCGGTACACTCGCAGACATTTCGTCGGCATCGGTAAGTCGTGCAAGTCTTATGACCACGCCATAAACGTTTTGTAATCTGTGCACAATGAGAAGGTCTTCAAGATTATCACCGGAGGTGACAAGTGGAGGTAGACGAGTTCGAGTCCCGCTGAGGATGCTGACGAGACCAGTTCAGGCAAAGTCGAAACTGCAGTCCAGTCCAGTCCAGTTGGGATGGAAACACGTTTCTGGGAGCAAGGCTAAGTGAAATCCGATGACCACGTGAGGTCCATGCATAAAA